AATAGAAATGCTGCCAGACCCTTAATTGTAAAGTATAACAGGACATTAATATAATTCATCACCTGTTAGAAAGAGCATTTGCGGGCTATTTACTAGAAATCTATTAAATATGACATGAAGAGAGATTGTACTCCATTTCTTACAATGACATTATAATTAGGATGTATGCTCAGTAAAATGGTTTCTAGAACCCTTGTCTGTGTGTCCTATCAATTAACCTAAAATCTGCATAAATACAGTGTAGTCAGGCAGCATTTTTAGCAATGCACATTTTTTCTTTATTTCTCAGCAAAGGAAAGTTTCATTTTGAAATATCAGTGTTGTTTTTATAGCAAGTTCATTGCCATGTATTATACTTATCAAAGCATTGAGGTAAAAGGATTATAAAGCAGAGGACTCATTTCATAGTTGTGTTATTGAATGTTGAAGGATTTGTTTTTATAGGAATCTGGTACATTTCCTTGACATACTAATATAAAAGTCTTTTGTACAGATAAGGTCAATATTGATGGTTCAGTACTATAATCTTATAAAGCATTCATCTGATGTACTTTAAAGTAAAAATATCCTTTTAAGCTTTCAGTTTACAAATGAAAGAAAATTCATTTATATGTTATCTCTGTACCAGTGAAAGATTAGATTCCTTCTGACTTTAAATGGGGAGCACTATATGTTCAAATACATGTTATCTCTTTGTATTTAAAGTTCATCTTTGCCTATATTTGTTTATTTTTATTTCACCTAAAGAATATTAGTGAAACTCTTCTCATTAAGGTATCATAGTTGTCCGCTCTCTGTAATGCAGTATTACATTAGAAACGCTGAACCGTGAACTAGCAATCATGTATAACATTTTTTTTCAAAATTAGCTATAGTCTTTGTACATTTTTCCTAGTAAAGTTAAATGTTTTATCTATGAAAAGGCATTCCATTTTCAGCTGTAATAAAGAGAGGCGTAGGAGGGTAACATACTCAACTGCATATGGCTCTAGAATAAATGTTTGTTTTTGCTTACTATGTTTACTCCTTAGATTTTTTTCCCTTTTGGGTGCTGGCAAGAATTTCAAGGACAGTGTTTTTTCTGAGTAATATTTTCTGCCCTCTGCCATAATTTGTTAAGTCTGAAGACAAGAAACTGCCACTCCCAACTGAGATTTCTTAAAGAGAATTTATTTTTTTGAGTAGAGAGAAATAAGTAGACCAGTGAGTGTAGACACTCACCGCCCTAATTTGGCAGCCTCACCTCCACTCTTTCTGTTCTCCTCCATCTGATGGTCATTCCTGTAGTCAAATATCTTTTTTGTGGAGATAGAGAAAAACGTACTGCCCATAGTGGTGGTCACTCCTTGTAATTATTATCTTGGATATATCTGTGATCAACACATGTGTGGAAATAATAGAAAAAAAACCCTGAGTTTGGTATCAGGATTCTGGCTAATCAGTCCCTTGGCTGTGAACAGGATCACATCCATAAGGTTTATTTTACCCCCATGTCTCTATCTCTTTAGCTTTCTCTCCATGTGAATTCTAGGATTCTCCCCACTCTTTTTAAAAACACTTTCCCCTAGTCTGGTCTCTGTGACCCTGTCATGTGTCTTCTCCTTATAATCATGTCTCATCTCCTCCATGAACTGTAAGTTCCCGAATAACAAGTATAGATTCATATTTGTAACCCTATCAGAATTTAATGTAATCCTGCCAGTATGAAAAAATGGTAAATATGTACTATATTAAAATATTATTTTATTATCTAGGACTTGTGTGTGCTTTAAATTCATACAGCATTAGAATTAAAGTTAATTGAAGGATTGTCATGACAGCCCTTTCGGTAGGAAGATGATTATTTTATTGAAGCCCTTTAATCATTTTGTTCATAACAAGATTTTCACCATTCTAGTGGCCTTAAAACTCTACTTTGTGTTTTTCTGGTGCAACTTTTGCAGAATAAAGTTGGAACTCCTCTCACTTTTAAAAATTTTAGCAAATGCAAAGACAGTTCATTTCATTTGACAGCAGTGATGTGTTACTGTTGCTTCTTACTGGGCTTGTAGTACTTTGTGGTATTCTCTAAAAACACATTTTTCCTACCAAAAAGGAAGGGATTCATTTTAAGTATTTGTTAAAGCATGTAAGATATATTCATATTTGATTTTTTTTCTTTTCTAAGTCTCTTTTCCTTGTGAATCTTAAATGTAAGCAAATAGATTATATTTCTCAAAGTCAAAAGGCATGAAAGCAATCCTTTCCATTTATTCTGTTGTATCACATGATCTAAAATTGATAATTCTCTGAAGGATAGCTCAGGATTCATAATGAGTACTTTTTAAAGTAAATTACAAAAGCCCTAGTTAGCTGTTAGTCCCAAAATAGAAATGGTCATTATCAATAATCAAACCCCTCTAATAGATTCTTACTGTTTTAGAGGCACGCACGATGTTTGCTTCCTCATTTCCAGGAAGGGGCTTATGAGAGAGTCAGTTCCTGGAGTGCAGCTGTCAGCCTGGAGAGTCTCAGCAAGGGAGCCTGGGCTGGAAAACCCACTTTCCAAAGGGTCGCCGAAGCAGAAACTGATTTCTCACACACGATTACACAGTATAACTGACATAACAAATGCCAAGTGATTGCTGGCACTGAGTGATAGGCGGGTGTTTACTTTGTGTGGTTGCCATTGATTTCCTTACCACTGATGAACCCACCAATTGAATTCCTGGAACTTCAAGGAAATACTAGTTATAGGAGTAGCTTGACTCTAATTTGCAAAGGGTTTATTTGAGTGGTAATTACAAGAGTGCCTCCTTGCTTTGATTTAATATATTATCCTATTCTGAGAAAATTACATAAATCTAATCCAAGGAGATCTGTGTACATTTTATGTATATAGCTTATGGAGTTCACTAAATCATGTATAAATTTCATGGAATTCTTAACCCAAACAATCACTTCACACACATTGTTCCATTTAATCTTCACAAGATATAACTATCCCAATTTTGTAGATTACAAAACACAGAGGTTAATTTGTCAATGATGCTCATCAATAAGAACCCAGATTTAAACTTCATTTGGTCTGAGACCTATCCCAAGCATCATTATTACCTAGATGCATCAGCATTGCCCTCTAGAGTGCCAAGTGAATCAAAGCACTGGAAATTCTACTGTTACAAGTTCACACTTCCTGTTCCTCAAGCCTCTGTTCATATGTCACCAAAAACTTCTTTAAGTGTGTAATATTCTAGTAGATGATACTAATTTATCATGAACTCTGAGAGAGGAAAGGTAGGACCTTTCTATCATTTTTCTGGAGTATTTAATAATGTGTAAAATTATCAAATTATGCAGCTATTCTTTTTTTTTTTCTTTTTTTAAGATAGTTTATTAGAATGAAGCCAGTGAGAAGTCAGGACAGCAGAAAGGTGGGCTAGAGTGGGCATAGTAATTGTCAAAGACAAAGTAACAGCCACCATACTTAAATTTTAGTCTAATAGAAATTAATGTATTTCTGATAACCTGGTGATGTTTGGTAATCCCCATTTTTAGGAAGCATATAGTATTAACATTCAAATAAGGCATAAGAGTTTTATAAAGAACTAATGACTTAATCCTTTTAAAAAGCCTTGTTTCATTTTGAAAAATCAACAATGAATTTTTTAAAAATATAAAAACAAAAGTAAGTGTGTCCCCCAGGACATGAGCACCACTGGCTGGCACCTAAATTTAAATGTCTGGAAAAAAATGGGCCAAACTCTTAAAAGGGCCAGTTAACAGCCTATACAGGTGCTTGCTAGATTTGTTTCAGCACCAAGTAAAGTAAGAGTATCACATGGAAAAAACAGTTGGAGTTTCCCTCTGCTTCTCAGGTGCCCCATTTCCTACCAGGCACAGTGCATGAGCGTGCGTCCTTGTTGCCCTACTAAGGAAACAGGATTATGTTTTAAACAGCTGCTCAGGGGACACCAGCAGAATTCTTTCCTCTGGACGTAGGATGGCAGTGAACACTAGCAGACAGCAGTTTCTTCAGTGGGAGTAAAGATCTCCTTTAGGAAACTCGGTTACTTTTCTGATCCTTTTCTAACCTAGCTATTCCTTTTGTTGCTACACCTGTTTACTAATTGTGGTTGTGTTACCATGAAGGGAATATCTTCCTGACATGGCTGATCTATTTATAAGCCCTAAATTATGAAGCATGCTTGCTTTACATTGTGCCAACTTTATTTTTCTTTGTACTATAATTTGTTGTTTGCCAAGGTATGTTATAAATTTGGGTTAAAAAGAAACTGACAAGTAGATCCTGTTTCTTAGTATAAGTAACATCTGAAAACCTGCCTATATTTTCCATTGAAACTCATTCACTGTTGGTGCTAATCAAAAAATTTTGTCATTTTTACATAAATCATATCTCTCAACACATAAGTATTTTCAAAAGAAAATAAGCTAATTTTTTATATGATAATTGTTTTTGTTTCGAATTCTGAGTAAGCTAAAAGTATGTCTGATAACAATAAATAGGGCATATGTAGCTAGCTTTATGTTTATTAGTGGAAAGGCAACAATGAATTTGCATCTTGCAACTTCTATAAATCGGGTTGCATTTTTTCTGTAACTTTATGTCAGGAAACTATAGATACAGTGTCTCACAAAACCATATTCCACAGGACTAGAAAAAAAAATTTTTGCGTCACTGCAAAAGTCTTGTATTTTCCCCAAGCAAGTGACATGTAACTGTTTTACTTCTCCAGAAAAATGTGAACATTTGAGTTATCAAATACTGAACAAAAAAATGACTACCAACTGCTCTTTTAATTTCACATTTTTTTAAGCTTTAACATACCTGGTGTTTTTGAATTGTACACCTATAAAAGACAAATGAATAAAACATACTAGACAACTTGTAAAGATCAGTCTTATCTGATTCATTTGGCACATCTTTAGTAATACTCAGAATCAAATCAATAGAAATAAAACAACTTTCAAAGAATTCATATATGCTTGAGTTTTAGAAAACAAGCTGCGAAAGGCACAGAAGAGTTTCTTCTGCTCATCTTACTAGGTACGTGCTTTTCTCTCATGGAGTAATGGAGGCTTGCTGGCTCTTCTGTGGCACTTTTGTTTGTAGGAAGGCATATACATGTGGCCAGATCTTGTTTGTTTCTGTTCCAGAAAATGTTTCCAACACCCCTTTTTTCTGGTAATATTCCAGGACCGGCTCTGTTTGGGCTTCGTAAGCCTTGAGTCTCTTGGTCACTGTCTCCGGTTTATCATCCTCACGTTGAACCAGAGGCTCTCCAGTCAGATCATCAATACCCACAGTTTTGGGAGGGTTGAATTCAATGTTGTAGACTCTGCCGCTGCCTAGATGAATCCAGCGAGCAGTGAGACGCTGTTTAATGACCTCAAAGGGCACATTCAGCTTGATCACTGTGTCTATCTGATAGGCTTTGTCCAGGGCTTCTGCCTGTGGAAGTGTCCTGGGAAAACCATCCAACAGCCAGCTGCACTCGGTGAGATTTTTCAGCTCATGCAGGGCCAGTCAAGTCATGACATCATCTGGAATAAGCTTCCCTTGGTCAATGAAAGTCTTGGCTAACACACCAATTTCTGTGCCCTGCAGCATGTTGTGCCACAGCAGGTCGCCGCTGGAGAGGTGCTTGAGCTCGAAGTGCTGCGGGATGCGCGCTGACGCGGTGCCCTTGCCCGAGCCCGGCGCGTCCATGATCACGGCACGCAGACGCCCCCATGGCCCTCACAGGCCTCGGCCTGGCCACCACACCCGCTGGCTGGCAGCGCTCACTATTCTTGATTAACAATATTATATATTAGTTTCCAGTAGGCAAAACAATTCAAACAATAATATTTTCCTCCTATAGTTCAGACATCCTAATACCAACTCCAGTAATTGCAGGTTTGCACGATGTCAAGCAATGAAAAGAAAAAATTTAGATAAAAAAGCCTAGGTTTTTCTACATTTTTTATACTTAGCATGTTGTTTATGCTTCTTATAACCAGTGGAGATAAAATAGACTTAAAGTCACAATTCTTCCAAATGGCCCCAAAAGAAGTTAGTATGCATCATGTCAAATATTGAGACTTTTGATCCCTTGTAGAATGTTAGCAGAAATCTTGCAATCTGTCCAAAATTATATTTGGCTTTTGACCTCTTATGTTAATAGCTTTATCATCTGTCTATACAAATGACATCTATCGCTAATATATAAAAAATTTAGAAATTGGAGGTTAAAGAACACCTGTACCAGCATTTAGACATATACCAATACTAGCCTTTTGTTGAATTTCCTGCTATTCTGTTCTCCTTTGCTCAATTCCTTCTAAGAATTTGAGTAACCAGGTTGGCCAAATAGTTCAGCAGATTAAAAGTGCCTGCAAGCAGGCATAGGGGCTGGGAGTTCGATCTCCAGGCCTGCTGTGCGGGCCCTGCCCCCAGAGCATACTGAGACAGCAATTGAGACTGAGTGTGGTGGCTCGTGTAATCCCAGATCTTGGAAGTCTGTGAACAGGTGAATCACTGTGAGTCCGATCTAGTAGCGAGACCCTGAATACCCTGTAGACCCTTCCCTAAAATACAAAAAAAAAAAAAAAAGAATTTGAATACCAACATTTAAATTAATTCCATCTTAGATAATCATTTTAGAACATGACCTCCTTCTGTACAGTTTTTTTCATATTGGAATATTAACCATCTTTCCACAAAGTTCATATTAACTATTATCATGTGTAAGTTTCTTTTCTGAAAAAAAGATTTAATTAGATTAGGAAGAATGACTTAACTAAGCTGAAACTCTTAAGAGTAAGACTTCACCTTGAGCTTTACAAATAGAATCTTTGATATTTTTAAAGCTTCTTTTTAAAAAACTACAATTATCCTTGTAAGAAAAAATGAACAATCAAATTTAAACCTAGATCGAATCAGGTTGCATGCATCCTTGCTTCTTAAGATCCTTGTAGTTCTTGATGTCTTCTTAAGGAACAGAGTAAATTCATTCTGCCCACTTTAATTCAAAAGTTAAATGTCACCAGTCTTAATGCCATTGTAATGAAAACTATTCTGTAATAAAGGTACACAGATCCCAGGACAACGATATATTTATTTTGTATTCTTTAATATAACATTGCCGAAACAAATTAAAACCATATATGTTTTAAAATTTTTAAAACTCTAGTAGTCATAAATTATAAGGTAATAAAGTATTACAATTGAAAATAAATACTGTGATACTATTTCTCAATGTACTGTTTACTTGACTGTGGTTTTAATCCTGTTAAATTGTTTTCAAGACCTATAATGAAAAGTGAAAGCACTATAGACAAGTGAATTTCCAGAAGTTTTTGACAAGTCTTCTGAGTTAGTAGGTTTGTGCTACCAAAGTTGTCTTATTCTGGAGATGCCAAGGAGCAGACAAAAAAAATGCGTGTACAGAAGGAAGGACGGCCACACTTGTATGTTTATAGGCGATTCATAGCTCAGTGACTAGAGACTGAGTGTCTGAATATTGGTTTTATAAAATAGCATATTTTAAAAATAAGAACTTTTTCAAGTTGTTTTATTGCAAGAACAAAGCCTGTCACTTTACTGTATTTTTAGGACTCTTGTCTAGGGCAGGCTTTGATATAAATAAATGATGCATTAACATTATATGCAGACAGAAATGTGTATGCCAGCAGAAAACTAAATGGGAGAGAATTGTATGTTTATACAATTCCAAGGTCAGTTCACTAACTCTTTGCTGAACATCACAGCTCATATTTTTTCTCCTTCTGATATATGTTCCTTTTTCTGTTAGAAGATATCCCATTATAAAACATTCCATACATCTCAGTCTATTAAGATAAGTTTTAAAGAATTCTTTCAAGTCATTTTTTCTTGTAACTCTATAACTGACAAGCAATTGCACAAAAGAACTTAGTCTGAAATAACTCATTTTGGAACTAAAACTAATTTTCAACTGATGATCCAAGAGAATGTATAGTTTCTGAATTGTCAGTCAATGAATGTTTTGATTAACAGAACACTGTTCTTTAAAAATATTGCATATATCTCTGAGCATAGTGCTTGTGTCTTTTGGAGATTGCAGCATCAGCAACAGAAATGTCTGATGGCAATTGCTCTAGGATCAAATATTTTGAGTGGAAATTGTTTACTTACCTCATAAATAATTACTAATGAAGAAAGACTTTATAACTCTTAAGAGTAATTGCTGTACTCTTTTGTTTATTTAACTACATAATAGGGTATAGGGTATACAGTGTACAAGGAGGTAAAGGGATCTTTCTAGATAAATTCATTTAACTTTAATTTTTGTTGTTGTTGTTGAGGGTTAAACCTAGGATTCCTTACATTAAAGGTATATGCTCTGCCACTGAATTTTATTTGTGTCCCCTAAAGTTAATTTTAGTTTTTGCTTCTATGGACAGTTAATATTCCTTGAATCAGTCAGCAGCCCAATCTCATGACAAGAGCACTATGACAGCTACTAGACTGATCAGGTCTCTTTTCTTAGCTTCTTATATTGACCTAAAGTATTTTCTACTTTTACTGTAATTTAAATTTTAAAGAGTTAATTTTTGGTGTTTTAAAAGTTTCACAGTGATAATAACTAATATAGTAAAAGCTAATCTTTGCAAAATATTGGTTTTAATTTTATTTTCATGTCTTGCCAATAGCAAGTATTCCCAAAATGGTATCATTTCCTTCTCTGGACAAAAATATTAACCTGCACAGGCTAAAAGAAAGCAAGAGTGAATATTCCATCCACAAGAGCAGATAGAGTATTTATCATTTTAGTATCCAATTTAATTCAGCCTATAAATTGTTAAACCTTATCAATAAATGAGATTTTCTCTAACTAGTTTCCATCATAATTAGGTAAGTGGGATTCACTCCCTAAAGTCCTCATCAGAAACCATAGGGGCCTGTTGATTGGGGAGCTTCAGGATTCAGTCCTGGTGCTCATGTTCAATTCCATTCTGCATTTTCATTATTTCTTGGGTGACAGAATTAAAGGCATACTGATTAAGTTGGAGATTATGCTAAGCTAACAGGAGCTACAAAAACTTGGAAAGCTAAAACTAGAATTCACAATCACCTTAATAAATTATATAAATCACATTTAAAAATAGAGAACAAATTCAAGGTTATATCCTGAGAGAAAAAGCAAGCTGTGCTATCAGCAAACCACACACCATAGCACAGACATGACAAGAAGAGGGCTGTGAGCTCAAGGTGTGAAGCAAGGAGTGCTGCCCACTCTAAAACAAGACCCCAAAGGCCAACTTTTCCATAAAAGGTTCACTTAGCTCCTTGTGGCAAGAGCTAGAGAAAATTAAGACAAATACACCTGAACAGGCTCTATTCCCCACGGACCCAGTGCAGTGAGCTGGTGAGAACAGAGTCTTTGAAACTGAGCACATCTTTGCATCTCTGTCCCATAGAGAGAGTGGGTGCCAGTTCTTTTCAAAAAAATGTGTTGTAGGAGTGCATGATATCCAAAGGCACAAAAATATGTCTCAAGCTTGTTGGCCTTTAGTAAGGCATTCTGCAACACCCATGTGATCCTGGGACTTAGGGACTTAGGAAATAATCTTTTCCTACACTTGACATTGTAAAACTATTTGTTTCAGTTTACACATTTTAAAAGAAAATATGAAAATTGGGGAGGTCTGCAAAAGAGCAACAAAAATGCCTATGGGATATAGAATAGATCGTGTGGGAAAAGATTAAAGAAGTTTGTTTGCTTAGCGTGGAAAACAGAAAGCTAAGAAATGACTTAATAACTGTCTTATGCTATATAGAGGCTTATCATAAGAATGCTGACCACTTCTATGTCCCTATAAGAAAGAATAAAAGAAAATTAGTTTAAAATAGCAAGGAAGATATGCTTTTATATTGAAAAGAATTCCTTGATTATAAAATATTATTAAGCATTGTCTAAGGATACCAAGAGGCATAATCTCTGAATTTGTTTAAAATGGAATGAACATGCTTGGTTTGAAGGTTTAAGAGTTGACCTGCTTGATGGTAGTACTGATCCCAGGCAATCTCTGGAGAAATTTAATGGTTATGTCATTTCTATAAAGGTATCATAGTGTTCTGCTTATAAAGATGAATTTTTATTTTTTATATTAAGGTTCACTTGACAATTTCAAGACATAAGTTTGCTTACTGTTTTTCTACCTCTAAATAATTACACTTTTGTTTTCTCTTTTTCTTTCATTTGTATGGCAAGTATCTATTGAGTGCTTGCCCTGCACAAAGCACTGTGATCATGATTGTGAGTGATAGCAAAAACTGGACATTTATTCTTTCCCAAACATTTACTGGCCCTCTCCCACGCAGACACTGTATTACCATTCACAATCCAAGTTGATATACAAAGCTGTGAAGAATTCACAGTCTAGTGCATGAGAATAATAAGTAGACATTTGTAGTGTTCTGTGAAGAGTGCTGTGCAGAGGGTATGAACAGATACTTTTGAAGCACGTGGGAAATAGTGACTCATATACATATGTGTGCGTTTGTGTGATGGAGCAGATTTGCTGGAGAACTGACATTGGGTCTGAATTGGGATGGGTAGAGGAGGGGGGTTTAAAATGCCAAGGATCATGAACTAGTTGTTTGTACTCAACCAGATGAAAGCTCTAATAAATATAAAAATATTTGTTTCGTTTTATCAAACTAAAATGTTAATTCTGTCCTCAGCCTTTTCTTGATTT